GAGGATTTTTCTTAAGAACAGTAGGCACCTTCTCTGCTCAGGACAAAACAAAAACTCATGCATGTAAACTTTTGAACAAGATGATATCTTTACAATCAGTTGTCTTGTGGAATTTAAAAAAACCCTGCAATGTTTTTATGATGCCTTTTATTTTATTTTTTTAAGGTAAACATCTTGCAGTTGCCGTCAGCTTATGAGCAGAACTGCACCTTCATTTAAATCCCTCTCAGAATATCACTTGATGTGATGTATTTTGCAAATATCTGCCAACATCTCTCTCTTTCTCCTGTCTCAGTGGGAGTGACTGCTCTGAACACCATGCAGCCCTGGCTGTTTGAATGTGTCCTCTGGAAGAAAATGTCCTGAGATGCAACAGAGGTGACAACGTGAATCAAGCAATGAGGCACACTTAATGAAAGCTTTTGTTAAGTCTACAGCTGTGTTTTTTCCATATGTGCTTTTGTGAGTCAGGCCAGGTGACAGGTACGAGATAAAAATAGAGAGATGGGAGGAAGAAATCTGTGGATGGAAAAGAAGCAGAGGCACAAACGTGAATCTTCGTTGCCTTCCTATTTATTCTGATGTAATTTGAAATGACTAAAGCATACATTAAATAGCCTATTATGTGAGGTATTAGATAAATTGGAAGATTTATGCAAATGGGTTTCTGTTTCCCAAAAACTGTTTTCTCGCATTGAACAAAAAATCATTACAGCACAAACGACTCCAAAAATCCCATTTGTTATTTAAATGTATTCAACATTTCCAAAAGATAGAGTAGGACTGACAAACATAGCATAGATTTATTTAATTTACAGCTTTATTGTTTCTTTTATATCTTCTCTGTAGATGCTTAGCTAAACGTGTCTGATGCAATCTCATTGGCTCTATATCACATCTTTGACCGGCTAAAGCATAGAACATTTCTCAAACCAATAATGTGGCAAAGACGAAATATAGTTCATGCTGTGGTGTTGGTACAGATACACACACACACACACACACTCACACGCTCACACTCACAAACGCACGTGCACACTTACAAATAAACCTCATTTTCTAACATTCATTCCTCCCACCGGAATAAAATATTACCGTGTAAATATTCGCACTGCATGTTGTTGCATTTGTTAGCAGGAATGATTGAGTGACAAGTGAAGCCTCTCAACAGCACCTCAACTCATCCTCCAGCCCTCTTCAAAATCAATACTTTTTAAGCCATCACTTCTGACGTCTGAATTTTTGTTCAGATTATAAATAATAATTGCTATAAAGTAGTAATACTGTGGCTAGGTGGTTTTTATAATTTAAAATAGCACAGAATGTTTGCCAAACTCTATTGTTATGTTTTTATTTGAACTTTTTGTGTATTTTTTTTTAATTTAGCTTCAGAAAAATATCCCGTTTTTGTGTTCATCACAGGCTCTCCATTCATTCTACAGTAACTAACACTAAAACATAAGCATCCGTTAAGCCGTCTCTTTCGTAAAAAAAAAAAAAAAAAAAAAAAAAAAGATACGAAGTCTGGCAACTCAACTTAATGGCAATGCTCTACGAAAGCGTCATCATATGTCATAATTGCTCT